GTCATTAGCACCTCTAGTAGTATATTTACTGAGAAAAATGGTGACGTGTTCAATACTTATTTTACCCGCTGTATATTTTTCAAATTTMATTAGAAAAAAAGTATTTTTTTTTCAGTAGCAAAATTTGTACAAACTTTGTCAATAAATGTAAATATCTTACAATAATTATTATTTCCTCACTTTGTTGATGGCATAAATGGCACTTTACTGTATATGTTTTGATGACAAGTTTTATTTTCCCCTACTTTTGTTTTATTTTTCAGTTGGTAGAAATATACTTATCACTATAAGGCCCCGAGCCCATCTTTTGAGAACCACTTCTATAGAAGTGTTATTTTATCTAAGGTGACTGCGCGCGCGCCCACCCTTCACCTCTCGGAGCCAAACCGCAGCGGACGGGACAGAGAGGCGCGCGCGCACACACATCACTCGCGCCGCTTGCTCTTAACGTTATCTCTCACGTCACTCATGTCCCCAACGTCGACTGCTGCCTCCCGCCGCAGAGGATCCGGAGGAGACGGGACTGCGGCTCAGGTGCACCGCTGGGATTGAAGTTTTATTTGTATTTATTTATTTATTTATTTATTTATTTATTTTAGCGCTAAGAGGAGGAGACAGGGATAAACACTCGGCCGCGCAGGAAAGATAGCGCCCTGATTTTGTCGCCATTGTCTCATCCGTGATGGGATTGCTTCAGGAGCAACCTGCCGCCTAACCTCTTGAAGGTAAGGAGTGGAGCTRAACGACGGGGTAACTAACAAAAGATGGTGTTTTGGACAGGAAGTGGGGCTGCTGCACGTCGGCTCGGACACTTTGCAGAGTGCGTCTAGTGGAGTTTGTGTCGGCGAAACTTGCAAAACCATCCCGCCGGTGTRCTTCTTATATGGGGGATCGGTGTTTTGAGACAGAGCGCGCCTTTGCGCACGTTCTCATCGCCGTGTTTAATGAAAGCTTCGCGTCTGTGTTCGCTGTGGTTCGGCCCAGCTGCGAAGCAGCGATCAGAGAGGACTCAAACTTGTGCAAACGGGACAGACAACAAGGCTGCCATTGTACCGGATCAACGGCGGATTAACGGAATTCCTTTTCTCTGTCCTGGCTGTCTAAATGGCCTCCAGCCTCTCTTTCTTTCAGCCCTCTGGGGGCTTTAACATCTTCATTTCAACCTGACTTTACCTCTTGAACTTAGAAACTGGCTGCACACCTGTACTCGTCCCAGCCACCAAACTACTGGCAGAACTGAGCTGCTGTATGKGCCACGATGTAAACTTAACAGGAAAAATAAGTAAATTTGTGTTTGGTTGGTTATTTTGTAGCAACAGCACTTCTTGCATATCTTATATGGTTACAAATTTCCTCCAAATGATGCCACATTTATTCAGAATAATTCATCATCAGTCTGATAAGCAGATKCCAAACAGCTTATTCTGCAACTGAGTCGTGTTTGTTGTTTATTGGATCTGATGATTAAAGGAAACAATTTATTCTTTCAACAAACAGGCTTGGTAGCATGTGGAAGAACCATACACAACCACAACAGCCTGACAGCTGTCCTTGTGCTGCTCATCAGCTTGGTCACACACACACACCGCTGGATTCCCATTCTCAACCAGCATAAGCCAGTGTGGTTTTATTTCATTTGTTGTTTATTTGTATATGGACAAGTATCAAGTATTTACAGTTTAAAATACTGTTTAAAAAGAACAAAACATTACATTAATTAGGATAATTAATAAAACAGATAATATAACATCATTAAAAGGTGGCAGTTATTCAGGATTACAAAACTGGTTCTCCTTCAGAAAATGCCTCAGTCTTGATCTAAAATGGTACCAGTCAGGTTGTGTTGGTCGGTCTGGAACAAAGAGTCTATCCAAAACTGATCCTACAGGTGTTTAATGGGGTTTGGCATCAGGGTTGCTGGCAGGCCATTCCATTATTTCCACTCCCAAATTCTGGAGGTGGTCTCTTAATAACGCACTGTGTGGGTGCAAGTGTTACCTTGGAGCATTGGGTCCCAGACTGTGGAGACATAGGGTTGTTACTGGTTGCTCAGCTGATTGTCAGCTGTGGTTCTAGGACTAGGGTTCTCAAGCCATTTGGTTCTGGGGACCCCTTACAAGGGCAAAAGAATTTCAGGGACCCCCTCACAAACTCCATGCTGTTTTAAAAGATAATTTATTGTCATTTCAACCCTTGAGTGCCATATTAGGGTTGGGCAATATTGGCAAAAAATTATCATGATTAGTTGTGGTATTTAACCAATAAGGATTAATTTGACGAGTCCCTGGACGCCCTCATATCCTGGTCACATGACCAATTTAAATCACTCTAGTGGGAAAGATTTGCTCTTCATAAAAAATCTGTTCCAAATCATGTCAAAAGTACAGACTTCAGGCTATGCATCAATTTTTTCATTGTGTTGATAGACCAAGTAAAAACTGAGTTATGATAAATAAATTACAGAACATTTTTTAAAATGTTTCTCATGTTCGAAGCAGACTGAYCGGGGAACTCTCCAGTCAGTCTCCCTGGTGGCATTAATTGTATTAATTGTCAAGTGTCGAAAAGTAATTGATTAATGCTTTTCTGACGATTAATTGCACACGATACGATTATGCCCAACCCTAA